AAAGTAGAAGATGAAGCGAGATATGTCAAGGAAAATCTCCTTAAGACAGATTTCGCCCCCCCCCCTCCACAATGTGCAAACGAGGATTATGGATGTTTGTCTCCTAAGAGACAATACTTCTTCCAAAGTCGATATTGCACAATACCAACCTTATCGGTCGAACCAAAGAATGAACGTACTCGAATGGAATAACAACAAAAATATTGAAGGTATTTTTGCAGAATATGGAGAGAAAAGGAATTTAGAAATCAAGAATATATTAATTGATTTGGTGTACAAAAACGAATCTAAATGTCTCTATTTATAGATATTGAAGTGTCTCATTGAATGAGTGTGTGACATTTCATGAACTAGTGTACCACTTGGTCTGATACGTTTTAGCCATTGAATCGCACTATTTCATGATTAAACCAAGAAGTGTAGTGTCCATTCATCATGCCTGTTGACCAATTTCTGAAGAGTCACTAGCCATGCAGATGCCACGCGTACGTCCAACTGAACCAACTGCCACGCAGGACGAAATGACACAACCTGTTACGTGTGTGCCACTAGGATGCCTATTCGTCGAGCCTCCCATTGCCATGTCATCGAACTATGAGTCCATTTATGAAAACTTTTAGGCTCCACAGCTCCTCGTGACTATGCGTACGTGCGAAGTGCGCGTCTAAAGTGCCTAATGCAAACTTTCATATATATGTTGAATTCAACTAATAGATGTCTGTAGTTTAAATAAAACTCTTTTTTCTTTTACTATACAGATATGTTAAAACACTAGTTGCTCTCAGTTATCTTCACATGTGATATTAATGCCTTCTGATTATGAAATTAATATTAGGATTTTGATAGCTTCTTTTATTATTCTTGTTCTGGCATGCTAGCAAATTCATTTTCATCATCTATATTCTCAATTCCTTGTTGCATTGTAAACCACGTGTATCAATCTTTAGCAGAGTGTCATAAAAACTTATTTGACCTACAGGTAAGTGATAAATCCATCTCCGGGAACAAGTGGCTTTTGTTAAATTTTGTGGTTTGTTGAAATCTATCGTGTTTTTATGCCCAAAAGACTTAACTGGTGATGTTTATGTCTTCCAAAGGATTGAAGACAGGAAATCTACATTGTTAGAACCTACAGAAAAAGAATCACGGGCGCTCTGGTACACAACTCTTGCATTGCCTCAAGATAACCCTCACAACATATTAGATCGTATTGTGAATGAAAAAATAAACAATATGACGCAAGCAATTCAAGAAGCCGAAGATGACACTGACAACTTCCCAATTGATCCCAATGTTCCAACAATCCATACTTCAGTTGAACCTGGTCCAAGTTCTACTTCCATCAATATTAACTATGTAACTAGGGAGGAAATGGAAGAAATAATGAATAAATATAGGGAAGATATAGTGTCAGATGTATGTAGAAAACAACAAATCCACTATGAAACAATTCCCCAAAATCAGAAGGAGTTATTTGGACAACAACAAAAGTGCCATCAACATTTCTTTAACCAACAACAACATTCAAAACAAGAATTCTACCAAACCATGCAATCTGACATGCAACACTATGTACATACCAGTTTAACTTTGGTGAAATCTTATATTGAAGAAGAAAATATCAATATGCTGAATAAAATGTCTGCTTGGCAATCAAATGTGGAAGCTGCTATAGCTTCCTTCCACGAAGATATTCCTCTCCATAAAAATGCGATTGATACAGCATAACCACAACATACTTCAATTTCTCAACAACTTCAACATGTTCAAAATGTAACACAAGTTTCATCCCAAAGAAAAAAGAGTAAGGGCAAAAAGATACAAGTTCCAAGTTATCCTTTAGAAGATTACTATATAGAGAAATATCATACAATCATAGATTGGATAGCAAAACATCCATCTGGGTAACAAATTCAAACTTTATCATGCTAACTTTAATATTATAATTTCCATATCATTTATTTCCTAACAGGTTTATTTATATTGTACAGTACATATTGGGAAGTTGGGAACGCCAATTCATACGGAAGAGATGTATTGAAAAGTTTATTAGACCCACCAACATATATTAATATTGCAGTTAGTCCAATAAAGTTTATTCATAGTTATATATTCTTTTCTTTATTCAATATATCTAATTTACACTTATCTATTGTATCAGCATATTAACCTGAAATTACACTTGCTTAGACAATTGATTAATAATGATTGCACCTTCCTCTCTAAAGAACATGCAATTATGGACTTCGAATTTCACAGAGATTGTGTTAATCATCACATGCGGATGGTAAATGAACAACGAAGAAATACCAGTGATGTACACACCTCTCGTTTAGAAAGATACATGATTGGCGACCTCCCAATTGCCGGTTGTCCATGGATACATTGCAACTACTTATTAATTCCAAGTTCATATCTAGAAAACAATGGGTATCTTTTTCTTGTTAATTTTCCTGAATGGAGATTCCAGGTATATTATTGCAGCAATCATAGCCATACAGAAAATGAAATAAAAACACATGCAAGCATAACATTTAATTATATCTATGTATTATTGTACTCTCCAACATTTTCATCCAGCAGACCAGATCTCAGAAAATACAAAGACAAACAGATGACATTTGAAATTGTACCTTATTTATCTTGTGCAAATAATGGGTAAACATTCAAATATATTTATCATAATAATTATATCTCAATTTTATTTAATTTTATATTTATAAGCGTTACTTTCATCTAACATAATTTTTTGAAAAATACTATTCATCTCCAGTGAGAATGCATCCCCAGTCTATGTGGATGTGAATAATTGGTTAAATGAAAGATGAAATTAAATGACTTATTTAATTTCACCTATTATTTAATGTCACATTAGCGCCACATAGACTGGAGATGCATCCCCAATGGGGATGAATAGCATTTCTCTAATTTTTTTCCCAATAGGCCCAACTGGCCAATATTTATACTCAAATTCATAGAATGTTTTGTTTTACCATATCCAATAGAAACAGTTTCATGAAAGAGTATATCCCTATCCCTATACAATAGAAGAGACAGTTTTGAAAACACTGTTCACACTTTCGTCCGATTAAACGACCTCGTTTTGGCATGAATCCCTAAAAAATAAAATCGATTGCTCCATTTCTTTTCATTTTGCCTGTTTTCAATCCCTCAATTTCCCGTCGATGAGCTTCCCTTTAACTTCTCCAGCCATTATCCAACGGAAACCGCCCCCACCGCAAAGCCACTGGCACCGAAAACTGCCCCCAGCGGACTACATTCATCCATCCCCAACCTCACCGCTACGTGAAAGGTGAGTTCTTCATTTTCCTAGCAACGAAGCGAGATGCGGTGATTTTATTGTAGAATCTGAAGTTGCTTCCTCGATCGGAGTTTGGTGAGTTCAATAATTGATTCTTGCTGCATAAATGTTAAATCTTTAACTCAAAATAGAGTGACCCATCTAAATTTAGGCTTTGAAGGGTAAAATGGAGACGGAAAATGAAGATTCCAAGTCCAAGATGGAAGATTATGAAGTAATAGAGCAAATTGGAAGAAGTGCTTTTGGAGCTGCATTATGGCTTCAGTTGATAATAAGATGGCTTTATTTGATAGATTTCAAATTCAACGCTATTTTCAGGATGGTTGTCAATATTTTTAGCATAACCAGATGATATGTGCTACTTATTTTTGCCAAATGATTATATTTTTTCTTTACATTGTTATTAGTTTTTTGTGTGCCATTATTCTGGTAGAGCCATTCGCCTTATGTTCTGGAAGAGTACCTATATTTGTTCCTCCTGTGTGACACAGGATTGATCAAGTGCTTTATACTCCTGCACTCCATAATATTCTTACTTTCTGAAATTAAATCAATCTTTCTGCTCTTTAGTTACCTGATTGAAAGCAAGTCCTACCCTGATATCTGCACTGTTACCTTGACACTGCCTAGCATTTGAGTTCCTTCACATGTAATTCAAACACTTAGCAAATTTTGTGTAGATTCCGGTAATTTGTTTAATGTTTTCATTTTCGCATGCCAGCTCTCTTTCAGAGTTTGGAGTTTTGGGATTTGAATTAGGTTATTCCATGGAAAACCCCAACTCTCTGGTATTGTGGGAAGCCCAATTTGGTGATTTTGCAATGATGCTCAAGTGATATTTGATCAATTTATCAGTAGTGGGGAGTCAAAATGGTTGCAGGAGACTGGATTAGTTGTTCTTCTACCTCATGGTTATGACGGCCAAGGCCCTGAACACTCGAGTGCACGTTTGGAATGTTTCCTCCAGGTGTTACCCTTTTTCTTTTTGGTTATGAAACACTTACATTTGTACCCATTTTCTGTTTTCTCTGGGTTTTAATTGTTTACTTTNCATTTGTACCCATTTTTTGTTTTCTTTGGGTTTTAATTGTTTACTTTTGGACTACTTATACATTTATTTGAAGTATACACATCATGATCATCATATTTGCAACCGCATTGCAAGTTTGTTGTTTCTGACTTTAGTTCACTTCAATTGGTTGCTTGTCCAAGGAATTGAATTTTAACCCATCAAATTATAAATTGACTTCAGATGAGTGATGACAATCAAATATTATCCCTGAGATGGATCCTACCCTTAGGACACAAATACAGGAGTGCAATTGGCAGGTGGTGAATGTCACGACTCCTGCAAATTATTTCCATGTTTTGCCGCATCAAGTAAGTAGAACTAACTGAGCAAATATTTGTGCTCTTATATAGGTTTTCTTGATTTTCTTATCTTTCACATCTTTATGCCCCAGATACACATGGAATTCCGCAAGCCTCTCATTGTGATGTCACCAAAGAACTTGCTTCGTCACAAGGACTGCAAGTCTAATTTATC